CCTGTGATTCATCTGAGCCTTCGACTTCAAAGTGTGACCCCGTGTTGCTGTGTTACATCTCTGAAACATTTTGTCTCTCTCCACCTTTTCAATTCCTCTCAGTATTTTATGTGTCGTTATCATGTTCGCCTTTTTCCTCTTGTCTTAAAGTGTTGTAAAGTCGATTTCCCTTAACCTCTCCTCGTAGGACATGCCCTTACCTCCCGGCTTAGTCTTGTTGCAAACGTTTGCACTTTCTCCAATTTCTTGACGTGCTGATCAGGTGTGGGTTCCAAACTGGAGCTGCATACTCCAATATGGGCCTGACGTACACGGTGTACGGGGTCCTGAACGATTCTTTGCTGAGGTGTCAGAATACTGTTCTTAGGTTTGCCAGGCGCCCATATGCTGCAGCAGTTATTTGGTAGATATGCGTCTCAGGAGATATGCTCGGTATTATACTCACCCCCTAGATCTTTTTCCTTGAATGAGGTTTGCAGTCTTCGAGCCCCCTAGCCTGTACTCCGTCTGCGGTCTTCTCTGACCTTCCCCAATCTTCATGACTTTGCACTTGGTGGGGTTAATCTCCAGGAGCCAGTTGCTGGACTAGGCTTGCAGCTTGTCCAGATCCCTTTGTTGTCCTGCCTGATCCTCACCCGATTGAATTCTCCTCATTAGCTTCCCATCGTCTGAAAACAGAAACACTTCTGAGTCTATCCCTTCCGTCATGTAGTTCATATATACCAGAAGCAGCACCGGTCCTAAGACTGACCCTTTTAGAACCCCACTCTTCAGAGGCGCCCACTCTGACATCTCGTCACCTGCCATGACTCATTGTTGCCTTCCTATCAGGTATTCTTTGATCCATTGCAGTGCCTTCTGTTATACCTGCCTGATCCTCTAGCTTTTGCACTAAGCTCTCGTGTGGAACTATGTTGAAAGCCTTCTTACAGTCCAAGAAAATACAATCTACCCACCCATTTATCGCTTTCTCTTGCCTTACTTCCATCACCTTGTCGTAAAACTCTAGCAGGTTTGTGACATAGGATTTCCCTTACCTGAAACCACGCTGGCTGTCGTGTGTAAGCTCACTCCTTTTTAGGTGCTCTGCCACTCTTCGCCTGATAATCTTCTCCATGACTTTGCATACTATGCATGTCAGCGATACTGGTCTGTAATTTAATGCTGCGTGTCAGTCTCATTTCTTAAAAGCCAGGACTACATTTGCTGTCTTCCACAACTCGGGTAGTCGCCCTCTTTCGATAGATGTGTTGAAGATTGTTGTTAGTGGCACACACAATGCCTCTGCTCCCTCTATCAGGACCCACGGTGAGATGTCCGGTCCCACCGCCTTTGAAGTATCTAGTTCACTTAGCAGCCTCTTCACCTCTTCTTCGGTTGTGTGCATTTTGTCTAGCACTTGTTGCTGTTACCCACCATTCCGGCTTCCCAGAGTCCTGTCTCCACTGAAAATACTTCCTTAAATCTCGTGTTAAGCTTTTCACATAATTCTCAATCATTTCTTGTGAACTCCCCTCCTTCCTTCTTCAGCCTGATTACCTGGTCCTTGACTGTTGTTTTCCTCCTGATGTGGCTATACAACAGCTTTGAGTCACACTTGGCTTTCGTTGCTGTCATTTTCGTATTGCCCTTGGGCCCACTCTCCTTATCCGTACATATTCGTTTCTAGCTCTTTGACTAATCCCCTTATTTTCCTGGGTTCTGAAAGGAATACAGTATACAACTCAAATTATGGGTTATACAAGCTCGATAATTATTTAGTAGAGTCCATTGTACACAATCTTAAACAACAATGTTATACAAAATCACAAGACTGTTCATTATGCCAGATGGGTTGATGGATTGGTGACGCCCGACCAGTGTCTACGCACTAAAACTGCACACCACGTCAGTTGTGATGGTTATATAACACCTGTAGCTGTTAATGTACCATACAGTGACAAGCACACAAGATAACGAGATAACGTAACGAGAGGTTAAAGGGTATTAGTAGAATTTAGATCATAGAAATATTATCGGATAGGCATAGAAGAGCCCCATGTATGGCATGTTAACCGGCACTGAGAATAATAGTAGACAATATTTAGGAAGAGATACTTCTGAGTACATGGGTAGAACATTCGAGTACCTCAGAGCAGGACATTTAAACGGACAAAGAGCACATTTCTTTCTTTCAATATTTGAAAAGGTCACACAGAATAATAGCTATCCATGTCTACAGTATCTAACGAGAAACTTATTTTCTCAAACCACATAACCTGTTATACACGATTAGAAAGAGCTTAGGGCTGGCATTTTATATCTTATAATTTCATACGTGACATCTCAGAAACCCTCCTACCCCATATGGGAGTAGGGGGATGATGGTAGGGTGGTATTGGCACCAATCACTAACTGCAGTCTAAGGGTAAATGTGGACGGTGACACTTACGCTACTCTGAGACCTCTCTCCCTGCTTTGGTTGCTCCCTTGCAACGTTGCACAGCTCCTGATGACGTACTGAGAAGTGTGGAAGTACTTGAGCTAAAGATTTCCACCCCTCTGTAGCTTGTCCTGCATATATAATATATATATATATATATATATATTAATATATATATATATATATATATATATATATATATATATATATATATATATATATATATATTTATATATATATATATATATATATATATATATATATATATATATACATATATATATATATATATATATATATATATATATATATATATATATATATATATATATATATATATATATATTATATATATATATATTATATATATATATATATATATATATATATATATATATATATATATATATATATATATATATATATATATAATATATATATATATATATATATATATATATATATATATATATATATATGCAAAACAACCACTCTGAAAGAATAAGAAATTCCAAGCGCTTTCGTGACTACTCACATTGATAATGTGAGTAGTCACGAAAGCGCTTGGAATTTCTTATTCTTTCAGAGTGGTTGTTTTGCATATTCTGAAATCACCTGTTTACTGTGATCTTATTGCATATATATATATATATATATATATATATATATATATATATATATAATATATATATATATATAATATATATATATATATATATATATATATATATATATATATATATATATATATATATATATATATATATATATATATATATATATATATATATATATATATATATATATATATATATATATATATATATATATATATATATATATATATATATATATATATATATATATATATATATATATATATATATATATATATATATACATATATGTACACACACACACACAGTCGACCCTCAATTAACGGCGGCATTAAGTAACAGCAATTTCGTCTAATGGCGCTTTTTGCTGTAGAAAAAAATGCCTTAACCAACGGCAAAAAGGTGACCCGGTTGCTAAAGCTCCTGCTTCACACACGGAGGGCCCGGGTTCGATTCCCGGCGGGTGGAAACATTCGACACGTTTCCTTACACCTGTTGTCCTGTTCACCTAGCAGCAAATAGGTACCTGGGTGTTAGTAGACTGATGTGGGTCGCATCCTGGGGGACAAGATTAAGGACCCCAATGGAAATAAGTTAGACAGTTCTAGATGACGCACTGACTTTCTTGGGTTATCCTGGGTGGCTAACCCTCCGGGGTTAAAAATCCGAACGAAATCTTATCTTAACCAACATCATTTTCCGGAACGTGTCGATGGGCCCCGGAGGGCGGCCTGAACGGGCCCAGCCACTCCAAGTCAGTGTGTTATTGTTTACAAGCTGTTATGGTCGGTTTCAACGTGTACCTCCCATATATTTTGGATTATTCCACTATTTCTAGTGCTTGTAACTGCTAAATAAGTCACCATGGGTCCCAAGAAAACTTCTAGTGCCAAGCCTTTGTTAAAAAGGGTGAGAATTACTGAGAATTGCTGACACATCACTCATCAATAACTCCACAATAAAGGTAAGTGGCATTTAATTATTGTTTATTTTGCATGTCCCATTCATTTCCACATAAGGAAATGTATATTTCATGTAAAAAAAAATAAATTCAGACCTTGGGGTGTCAGGCATGGATTAATTCTATTTCCATTATTTTTTATGGGGAAAATTAACTCGACCAACGGCAAGCCCTCTGGAACGGATTAATGCCGTTGGTTGAGGGTCCACTGTATCAGTAAATAGGTAGAGTACATGGATGTTGGTTGACCGATGGTGGCAGCATCCATGGGAAGGACTGCAATGGAAATATCTATCTGGTTTTTTCCCTCCCGCAGGCTGGTGGAGGAGACGTACACGGCAGAGGAAGTGATGGAGATGCTGGAGGCTCTGGAGGATGTGGTGAGGGCGGAGGTAGAGACAGAACTCATCCATGCCTCCCACACCACCTCCCTCCTCCTGGCTAAACTCTTCACGCAGGCTCAGAAGTGGCACCTCACTCTCACCGTCGACACGTCAGACCTGGAAAACCAGTTGAGTTATGAATCTCAAGTTAATCCCTCCTAGGCTTCTTTTCAACTTTTCATTTTATCGTCGTTCTTACTTTTTCATGAGATATAAAGGGAGAAAAGAATATTGCAGCTGCACACCTCAACACACAAAAATCCGCCACTGAACAGCTTCATTGGTATATTTTGAGTGTCGGGATGTTTCCCAAGAACATGGGAATTTTTTGCATTAATGTTAACCATTTGATAGTTTTAATTTGGTTTGGGATATTTTCACTTATTGTACAAACATTTATTAGTTTATCACGTGCATGGTAGTGATTCATTTTAATCTGGAAGAACTTACAGGTCACAGATCTCTGTTAAATATTCAAGTACATGTAGTGGTGTTGCATGCAAAGAGTATGTACCCTTATTCGGAGCATGTGAACACACTCATATAAGCTGCCTCAGCAACCAGTGAACCAGGTAACTAAGGGTCGGACGATCGGGGCCCCATCGTCAAATCAGCACCTAGGTTCAGCCAACCATATTGTGGAAACTGGCAATTGTGAAGGTGACATGGATACCACTCACATTCTCACACTTGTCATTTTCACCCAGCTGCTGGTTGAACACTGTTGTCCATTCTGTCTCCAGCCTGTGTCTTTGCCTTTGATTTACCGTGTTGTACACATATATTTCCAACTGTATATAGTGTACATACTTGTAAATACTTATAATAATAATATCTTTATTTACTACAAGTACATCTACATGGTATACAGGCCTAGCTGACAACAATGACATACTACTTGGTGAAGGAAAATATAATTCAAAGCCATTCAGCTGTGTTCTGCTACTTGCTCCCCTTTACACCCAGGATAACAGGCCTTTTTGTTCCAGGGTTGTAATAAGTAGGATGGTCGACAACAATCATCGTTGGAGACGCTTCTTTCCTGTTAAATATATATGAAATGAATACCTCTTAAACGTTATCCACTCGGGTATGATTGCTTTATTTCTTAGTTTCTTTCTCATAAACACGTAATATAACAGGTACATCTTACAAACATCTGTTCACATTCAGTATACACTTCTGTTTTACCTCTTTTTTTAATAATTCTTATTTATTTTTTTTTCATTTGAAATCTGAGAGGTCTAATCTGAGACCGAATGGTGGGGGCCATGATGCCCCGGAACTGTTGCCAGATAATACATTCTCGCCTTCTTGCTGCAGAGAACTTCTGGATGAAATCAAGAAGTTTGAGGAGCAGGATGTGCAGCCTCGCCCCAGCATGGAGCTTCCCTCGCCCAAGAGGAGGGTGCTGGCACCTCTTACAGATGTTGACGGACCTATGGGTCTCCTTCAGGCAGAAATGCACAGACTTTCTAGCCATAATGAAGAACTTAAGGTCAAGCTGGAGCAAGCCGAGGCCAAAGTAAGTTGTCCTGGTGGTTGGTAGTTAGCGTGGAGGTGGTGGTAGTGACCAAAAATATATAGTTTTAATTTTCCGATCTTCAATATGGACAGTATACCCAAGATGCTCTCCAGTAAGTGCATTACCCCCCCCCCCCTTCCCCTTTAGACAACATGAAACATTCTAATATCGTGAAAACACTCTAATAAACATTTCGATGTTACTTGAGGCATCTATAAAAAATATTAACCAAAATTCTCACTTGAAATATCGTAAACAAAAATATGAACACTAATGACCATTTTATTTAATAAGATTTTAGAACCCATGTTTATATACACCGTATCCAAAAATCATCTTTATACCTTTATGAAGAAGAGATCGAAATAAAGAAAATGTAACGGAAAATTTGATTACCAACAAGCAGCGTCAACACTGAAAGAGCTGGTAGCACAGTGAGTGTTGATGACTGACAAAACCCCTCAAGGGAGCTTTCCTGATGCTGGTGAGGGACTGTTGATCTAAGGAATTGGATCTGTACTCCAGTTCCCTAAATTCAGCCTGAATACCTTCTGTGAAAGTGATTTTAATAATAATAATAATAATAATAATAATAATAATAATAATATAATAATATTATTATTATTATTATGTAAGCAAATTACCTGCATGAGGTTTACAGGGCATTATCTGAATTATTACCTGCAAATAATCTGGGTGAGGTAAGTGGGACTTAAGTCACAGCATGTCGCTGAGCTGTGACTCCTTCGATGCCCACTCCCTACTACTCTAACAAAAAGCTAGACCTGAAATTAAATTTATATTAAAACCAGCTACTCTGGTACATTAAAGTTGTGGACTGTATGTGATTTGGCTTGCTGGGTACACAAAATATAATTTGTGTTAACACTTACCACTTAAGTACTGTAGATGGATCACACCACAACACCTAACACCTAGGCCCTACACTAGCCAGCTAGAGATCTAAATGCAAGGACTAATGGTGCACTTCCCTGTGAGGGATATACACATATTTATCTTCCACCATCCACATGTAATTCTTGAGGTCCTGTAAATTTCCTGTCTGAATTCTTCAGCAGGGGACATTAACATGGGTTCCTAATGCCAAATTCAGGCCACAAAACCCCAATTCACGTTTGAGAATGCCTGATTATATTGCACTACACAGTCTAGGGGTTACACATTAAATTCAATATGGCATCTCTCCTCCCCAGCAGCTGTTCTGCACCCTCCTCACTCGAACTTTCTTGAAGGGTCCAAACAGCATCACATTTTAATACACAGTTATTATATTATTCATTTATATGTTCTACACTTAGGAAATCATGTAAAAAATTTCCACACTGCGGTCGGAGGATGGTCGTTGATAAACGACTTAATTAAAATTGTCTTTGTATTCCATCTTGCTGTACAATTTTTATACACATTTATAATTAAAATTATCAAAGAATGTGCTATGGTATAAAAATAGGATACATTACATATTCATACAATTCATTTTGTAACCTATCTCTACATCATCTAAATATAGCCCTAATTGATCTATTTTAGAGACACTGGGTCGCACTGTCTCTCTTTCAAAACCCACACACTCCTCTCACACTCACATAAATTGGACCTGTAATATATTTATTTTTGGATTTATTAACTTTAAATTATTAACACTGGTAACTTACGATTGTGGACTGTATCTTTAACAATAGTGATTAAACTTCAATGAATTGGATAGCTGGACTACAACATTTATACTTATTATTTACTATTTCTTCAGACATTACTTGGGCACACCTATTAACGCCTCACTAACAGATAACTACAATGGCCAGCTAGAAAGCTACTGAAAGTTACTGTAGGCGTACACACGTATGGTGGGCTGCACAGACAATTCAGTGCCTCCTTGTTTTCCATAATTCCATCTATACTGTGGCTGCTTCCCAGGAAATTGGACCATTTACAGCAACCCACAAAACTCTTTTTTGGCGTCGATGACATACAGTTTTATCACTATTATGTACAACCGATGTTTACTTCGCCATTTTTTCTCGCATCTTCCCTTACGCAATTCCCTGCTGTGCTGGTTCCCCACGCTCTCTTCACTCGAAATTTCTCGAAAGTCAAACCAACACCACACATCAATGAACATTTATTTTATTATTTAATTTTTTGTACTCTAAATTCAGGAAAATTATAAAAAATTTCCACAACTGAGACACATGTCAGTACTGTATATCAGTGACATTCACAGTGAGCGTTACCAATGTTGTGGAGCATCACAACCTCATCAATCAAGAGGTTTAATTAGTAAAACAATGTAAAATCTATTTCTAAGGCTAAGTTGAATTACTTATACTCTTTCAAGCCTCTTGAATGTTACTAATTAGTGCTGAATAATTGCTTTACTATGTAGTTTATTTAAAATTATTAATTATTGTTGTTATTAGAAGTAGTATTATACTTTAAATGAGGCTGGATTTTGAAATGAACTAAAGTAGGCATACAGTAGTATTTTACCTGTATAATGAGTTGAGGTAGGATAACAACTTTTAGCATATAAAATGAACTGTATAAAAATGAGTTATGCAAAACAAAACAAAACAAAAAATGTAAAACATGTTTCATTTTCAGGCGAGGGATCTTGAGAAGGGAAAGACTGAGATGAGTGTGAACCTACAAGCAGCTCGCGACGAAGTCAACACTCTCAAGAACTGCATGGCCACCAGGCCCACTAATGACGATGTTACTGAGGTACTGTCAGGGTGAAGTACTCACTCGAAGTCTCTATCAGTTGGTTTGTACCTCTGACAGACTCTCCTACCTCCGCTCCTCAGTGGTTCTATTATACCTCTGTCTCATTTTTTATTGTCTACGTCGATTTTCCCTTCTAAAATCAATATTTATCTTCCTATGCATAATCCGGTATCTCCAATTTTACGTTTATTTTGAGAGTAATCTCCCTGCACCTCCCCAGCAACCCGTGCAACACTTCTCCCCACCTTCCCAACTCCCCATCTGTGAACATATCCCCACGACCACAATCTATTCCTCTCCTTCAAAACAAGACTAGCCTCATCTCTCTTCTACTTCGTTTCCACAAAAGATCTTTCGTGGCATGCTGAACCTCTGTCTTCCTTTCCATGTGATTGCTGCAGCTGGTGGACGAGGTGGAGAAGATGCGACTGCAGCTGGCGATGCAGCAGACTGACACCACTATGGACCAGCTATCTTCTGACCTGACCGTCTCCAGGCAAACCCTCCTACAAGTCAAGGCTCAACTCCAGCTGGCAGAGAAGGTAAGCTCAGGTAACCAGATGGATGGAAGGCTAGCAGTGGTCACCACCTAGGTACGTTTCAGTAGTAATGATTTCTTCTGTATGGCTCAGAAGTAACACCTAGATGGCCTGGTGGCTAAAGCTCCCGCTTCACACACGGAGGGCCCGGGTTCGATTCCCGGCGGGTGGAAACATTTCGACACGTTTCCTTACACCTGTTGTCCTGTTCACCTAGCAGCAAATAGGTACCTGGGTGTTAGTCGACTGGTGTGGGTCGCATCCTGGGGGACAAGATGAGGACCCCAATGGAAATAAGTTAGACAGTCCTCGATGACACACTGACTTTCTTGGGTTATCCTGGGTGGCTAACCCTCCGGGGTTAAAAATCCGAACGAAATCTTATCTTACTTCCGGTTTCCTACTTTCGGTCTCTCCTTTGCCCCTACATAGGTGTGAAATTTCACACCTTTATGCTAATGACCCTGACTCACCCTCGACCACCTCACCGCGCCGCCCCCCCCCCCCCCGCCCGAGCCCCCTGCCCGCAAGCCCAACCGCGCCCGTGCCGCCCCTGCAGCATGGGCGCTCATGGGGGGGATGGGGAGGGAGTTCTTGGTTATAGTGATTTGAGGGGATTTCTATAAAATGGGTGTTAGCTGGTGATGCTGATCTTAGTTTCTGGTGATTTTGACGGTGTTTTGGCAGTAATCATTGGTGATTTGATAGTAATCGATGGTGTTTTGGGAGTATTCGAAGGTGTTTGATGGTGCTTTTGAAGGTGTTCAAATGATGTGCAGAGTATTTTTGAAAATGTTCAGCGGTGTTTTGGTGTTGTTCAAAGTTAGTCTTTGAGTTAATTATGGTAATGTCTCATGTCATAAGTGTATGAGTTAGTTTTTTTTTTCTTTGTGCTAATGTTGTAAAGTCTGGAGTTTGAGGGAGGAGTTTGGTGGATGAGATGTAATATCGGTTAATGAAATGTGTAAGTGTGAATGAGAATGTAAATTGGTGAGTGAGTTAGAGAAGGCAAAATGTTATGTGATCTTAGTAAAAGTATAGATAGTTTTAGTGATCTTGACATAAGCGATCTTAGTTTTTAATGATCTTGGTTATGATGTTTTAAGAGAATGTGTACAAAATGTGTGATGTTTTAGTGATCTTAGTGGTGGGGTTATAGAATTTGGTAAACGTCTTGACTGGGGTGATCTTAGATATTGGAGATATAACAGGTTGAAACAAGGTGTTTGGGTATGACGTCACTGATCACCAAGTAAACACAGGTTGGAGTGTGACGTCATGGGAGGTGTCCCTATCTGTGTCGGCATGTGTTGGTGCTGAGTGTATTAGATATTGGTAAATATTGTAAGAAGTTGGTGATTGTGATTTTTGTGTGAATGTTTATAAAAAATGAGTGTTTTCTGCGATCTTGGTGGTTTTGAGGTGAGTGATGATGAATGTTAGTTGATGGATGTCTTAGTTTTTTGTGTCCATGATATGTTTTCAGTTGGTGGTGATCCTGATGTAAGTTTTTCAATGTTGTTTGGAAATGTTCAAAGGTGTTTGAGACTATTCAAATGATTTATGAGAATTTTTTTTTTTTTTTTTTTTTTTTTTTTTTTTTTTTTTTTTTTGCGCTCATGTTATTTAATAGTCTGAGGTGAGTGGGATCGTCTTGGTTTTAGTGATTTGAGGGGATTTCTATAAAATGAGTGATAGGTGGTGGTGTTGATCTTAGGTTCTGGTGATTTTTAGTGGTGTTTGGGCAGTATTCAGTGGTGTTTTGGGAGTGTTCAAAGGAGTTTGATGATGTTTTTGAATGTGTTCAAATGATGTTTTTGTAGTATTCAAAGGCAATTTGATGGTGTTTTTGGTGTTGTTCAAAGTAAAGTGTGGTGTGTGTGTGCGTGTGTGTGTTAGTTTTGGTAAATGTCTCATGACATAAGTGTATGAGTTAGTTTTTGTGATAATGTTGTAAAGTCTGGAGAGTTGTAATTTCGGTTAATGAAATGTGTAAGTGTAGATGAATTAGAGATTTCAAATCTTATTTGGGAGTATTCAAAATGATATTTTGGAAGTGTTCCAATGATGTCTTCTGAAATGTTCTAATGTAATTTGCAAGTGTTTCAGAGTTGTCTGGAAATGTTCAAAGGTGTTTTTGTGAGTATACAAATGATTTATGAGAGTGTTTTGATAGTGTTCAAAGTAGTCTAGGGTTGTTCTGTAGTGAGATGATAAAGGTTGTTGTTGAGAGAATATTTCTTAAGAGATATTGAGAAAAGGTGGTCTTCAAATAATGATATATGCGAGTGTTTTGAAGGTGTTCAAAGTAAAGTGTGATGTCTGTGTGTGTTAGTTGGTCATAGAATATCTTGGTTAGAGTGATTTTAGTGGATTTTAGATGGGTGATGAGATGGATTTATGGATGTGAAATGCGATTTTTGTGTGTTCTGAAGAGGTGTGTTGGGAGATGGGTGAGTGGATGTGAAGAAATGTGGGTGAGATGGAGAGGGGTATGGGGAAGGTTGTATTAGAAATTTAATGAAATATGGGGGATTTTACTGAAAATAAAGGTAATGTGTGAATATTTTAAAAGAAATTATAGAAATGAAAAGTTATGATACATTGGAAAAGAATGGAGGGTGAATCCCCAATACCTGGGACTTGGAGGTTGTAGAAACATGCCGCAGTAGTTGGGTAGTGAGATGATTAGTTGTTGTGAGTATAATATTAATCTATGTGGATACAAGGAGATGGGTATGGAGAGGATTTTATTAGAATTTTAGTGAGTGTAGGGAAGAATGTGCATTACATTTAAGATTTAGTAAAAAAAAAAGAGGGAAAAATTTGTATCGAAAGAGGAAAAATTGTGAATAAAATGGTAAGTGATGAGGGTTGTGGGTATTGTTGTCGAACTAGAGATACCAAAAAAGAAGTTATAAGTTGTGGGTGCTGTTGTAGAACTAGAGATGCCGAAAAAGAGGTGATCCTGTTGTGTTTGTGTTCATGTTTTTTGCGCTCCTGTTATATCTTAGTTTGAGGTGAGTGTAATCATAGAAATTGGTAATCGTCTTGGTTATAGTGATTTGAGGGGATTTGTGTGAAAATGGGTGTTAGTTGGTGAGGTTGATCTTAGTTTATGGTAATTTTGGTGGTGTTTTGGCTGTATTCAGTGGTTTATTTGGGAGTACTCAAATGGTGTTTGAGGCTATTCAAAGGTGTTTGGAAGTGTTCAAACGATGTTAGAGAGTATTCGAATGTTGTATGAGAATGTTTTGATGATGTTCAAAGTAATCTGGGGTTGTTCTGTAGTGAGTTGTTAAAGGATGTTGGTGAGAGAATATTTCTTAACAGTTATTGAGAAAAGTGTGTGTGTGTGTGTGTGTGTGCATTAACTTCGTAATATGTAAAATTGACTAGTGAATTTATCGAAAAAAGGGGGAGGGGGTGGCGCGGGTGAGGTGGTCGAGAGTGAGGTCAGGGTCATTAGCATGAAGGTGTGAAATTTCACACCTATGTAGGGGCGAAGGAGAGACTGGAAGTAGGAAACCGAAAGTAACACCTAGACCGGAAGTAACACCTAGGTGCTACTTCCGAGCCATACAGAAGATATCTTCACTAGGCGTTTCTAGGTCAGAGGTCATCATCTAGGTATGTTTCTGGGTCAGAGGTCACCATCTAGGTATGTTTCTAGGTCAGAGGTCACCATCTAGGTATGTTTCTAGGTCAGAGGTCACCATCTAGGTATGTTTCTAGGTCAGAGGTCACCATCTAGGTATGTTTCTAGGTCAGAGGTCACCATCCAGGTATGTTTCTAGGTCAGAGGTCACCATCTAGGCATGTTTCTAGGTCAGAGGTCACCATCTAGGCAAGTTTCTAGGTCAGAGGTCACCATCTGGGTATGTTTCTAGGTCAGAGGTCACCATCTAGGTATGTTTCTAGGTCAGAGGTCACCATCTAGGTATGTTTATAGGTCAGAGGTCACCATCTAGGTATGTTTCTAGGTCAGAGGTCACCATCTAGGTATGTTTCTAGGTCAGACGTCACCATCTAGGTATGTTTCTAGGTCAGAGGTTACCATCTAGGTATGTTTCTATGTCAGTGGTCACCATCTAGGTATGTTTATAGGTCAGAGGTCACCATCTAGGCATGTTTCTAGGTCAGAGGTCACCATCTAGGCATATTTCTAGGTCAGAGGTCACCATCTAGGCATGTTTCTAGGTCAGAGGTCACCATCTAGGCATGTTTCTAGGTCAGAGGTCACCATCTAGGTATGTTTCTAGGTCAGAGGTCACCATCTAGGTATGTTTCTAGGTCAGGTCACCATCTAGGTATATTTCTAGGTCAGAGGTCACCATCTAGGTATGTTTGTAGGTCAGAGGTCACCATCTAGGCATGTTTCTAGGTCAGAGGTCACCATCTAGGCATGTTTCTAGGTCAGAGGTCACCATCTAGGTATGTTTCTAGGTCAGAGGTCACCATCTAGGCATGTTTCTAGGTCAGAGGTCACCATCTAGGCATGTTTCTAGGTCAGAGGTCACCATCTAGGTACGTTTCTAGGTCAGAGGTCATCATCTAGGTAAGTTTCTAGGTCAGAGGTCACCATCTAGGTATGTTTCTAGGTCAGAGGTCACCATCTAGGTATGTTTCTAGGTCAGAGGTTACCATCTAGATATGTTTCTAGGTCAGAGGTCACCATCTAGGTATGTTTCTAGGTCAGAGGTCACCATCTAGGTATGTTTCTAGGTCAGAGGTCACCATCTAGGTATGTTTCTAGGTCAGAGGTCACCATCTAGGCATGTTTCTAGGTCAGAGGTCACCATCTAGGCATGTTTCTAGGTCAGAGGTCACCATCTAGGTACGTTTCTAGGTCAGAGGTCATCATCTAGGTAAGTTTCTAGGTCAGAGGTCACCATCTAGGTATGTTTCTAGGTCAGAGGTCACCATCTAGGTATGTTTCTAGGTCAGAGGTTACCATCTAGATATGTTTCTAGGTCAGAGGTCACCATCTAGGTATGTTTCTAGGTCAGAGGTCACCATCTAGGTATGTTTCTAGGTCAGAGGTCACCATCTAGGTATGTTTCTAGGTCAGAGGTCACCATCTAGGTATGTTTCTAGGTCAGAGGTCACCAGGGTCTCAGACTCATGAAACAATTATTATTCTTAGAACGCAACGAATTCTTTCTCTAAAAATTTATATATATATATATATATATATATATATAATATATATATATATATATATATATATATATATATATATATATATATATATATATATATATATATATATATATGTCGTGCCGAATAGGCAGAACTTGCGATCTTGGCTTAAATAGCAACGTTCATCTTGCCATATAGGACATGTGAAAATTTGTGTATGCAATAATTTCGCCAAAATAATTCTGTACCTAACGAAAAAAAATATATTTCACTGTGTTTGTTTAGTATTAAATTACTGTAAACAAATCTAAATTATATTTAGTTGGGTTAGGCTAAAATAAATTACTCTTGTTATAATAAGGTTAGGTAAGTTTTCTAAGATTCTTTTAGTGCAAATTTCTAAATTTTCACATTAACATTAATGAAAAATATATATCTTTAAACGTATAAGATTTTTTTTTAGAAAGGACTTAATTTTAAATGAGTTCTTGCTAATTGACCAGTTTTACATATTCGGCACGACATATATATATATATATATATATATATATATATTATATGACTGAAAAATCAGTTTATACTACGTACTGACAATGTGATACAAAAATAAGATATTTTAAACACTATAGTTACTGTTGATCGTCAGGAACTGGAGAAGAAGTTTTCGCAGACCGGCGCCTACCAGAACATGAAGAAAATGTTGAACAGGAAGAACGATCAGATCAGGTCAATGCGGAAGAAACTGGACATTTATGAACCGAATACTGATGACGTTATTGATGAGTGAAGAAATGAAGTTACTGTGCCGTTAATGACTGAGGAAGTCAACAGTGCCTGCAGTGACTGATGAAGTCAACTCTGTCTGTAATGACTGGGGAAGTACTGTACCTGTTATGACTGAGGAAGTCGACTGACTGTGCTTGCATGTTCTAGAATAAGGAAATACATATATCATTGCTTATTAAAGAAGCAGCCATTACTTGAACAATGTCAGTAAATTTCGCATGAAGTTTATAAATTTTCGAAACGTTTCGCCTGCGCAGCAAGCTTCTTCAGTCGAATACAAAGGTGACTAATGATCTGGAGACATGTCAGAAAGAGAAAGTGAAGTGTTCAGTTACTCAACCTTAAAAGAGGTTGTTCACTTCCATGGTGAAGCAGTAACACCAAGTATGTAATGGTAGTTCAGAAGTGAAATGCGAGGAAGATGACTGGGAGAGACTAGCCTCAAACTCTCTCGTCTTCAACTGTATCTTCAGTATATCAGTCACCTTTGTATTTGACTGAATAAACCTGCTGCAAAGGCGAAACGTTTCAAAAACATAGAGACCAAGGTGATACACATGTTTCTCATTTACTTGTCGGTACTGCATGCCATTAATATAATAGCTAATTACAGTGACATATTGCAAGACCATAATGAGCGATGTATTACTATAGTAGGTTTACCGGCCAGACCAAGGTCAGGTGCTACATGCTAGAGGAAGGAGTCGTAGGTGTTGGCTGTGTAAGTCTGGGCAGAATGAACCTGGCGAGAAATGAAATCATATTTTCTTTACCAGTACCATCTACCATCAGAAAATTCTGGCAGTCTTATGCTTTAAGATATTCTCGCCAGGTTTATCCTAGTCGGCGAGGTCCTCAAGGGCGTGATAACTGCTTAGTTAGATTAATATATGCTTTATGTACCCCATACCCATGCTTTGGGCAGTAATCAAAAGATTACAGAGTCACATGATGTGTCCAGAGACTGGACTCCAAGTTATGGATGCTAAACAAGTTACAGAGTTAATGAACTATTTACAACTTTATGATTTTGATACATTTGTAATGAACTTGTGAAAAATTATTTTTATTATTATTATTATCATTGTTATTATTATTATATTATGTGAGCAAATTACCTGCAGGAGGTTTACAGGGCATCACCTGAATTATTACCTGCAAGTAATTTGGGTGAGGTAAATGGGACTTTAGTCACAGTAGGTCGCTGAACTGCTGCTCCTTCGACTGCCCACTTCTTCACCACTCTCACAAAAAACTAGACCTGACATTAAATTAATAATTATAATATTAAAACCAGTTACTCTGGTAATTAAAGTTATAGGAACTGTATAAGATTAACTTTGCTGGGTACATAAATATTTTGGCATTAACACTTACCATTTAATTACTGTTGACAGATCACACCACAACACCTGCCTAACACCTAGACCCTACACTGGCCAGCTAGTGATCTAAATGCAAGAACTATGGTGCACTTCCCTGTGAGTGATGTTGCATCCTTTATTTTTCGCCATCCACATGTAATTCTTGAGGTCCTTCAAATTTCCTGTCCCAGTTCATCAGCAGCCGACATTAACACGGGTTCTTAATTACAAACTCAGGCTGAAACAGTGCAATTTGGCCTCTAAGAACGCCTAATTACAATGCATAACCACGTCCAGTGTTCACCCATTATATTCAATATGGCGTCTCCCGTCTGCATCACTCTCCGGCTCTTCCACACCACCCTTCACTTAAATTTCTCGAAGGGTCAAATCAGCATCATATTTTATTACACAATTATTGTATTATTAAAATTTACCGATGATGAATTTAGGAAAATCGAAAATTTTCCACACTGCGACCGGGGGATGGTCGTTGATAAACGACTTAATTAAAATTGTTTTGTATTCCACCTTACTTTACAATTTTTACACACATTTTTAAATAAAATTATCAGAGAATGGGCGTTGGTATAAAGATAGGATATATTACGTATTCACATACATGACCTCCTGCTGTTTTTAGAAGATTAACACCACATTTCCTTTCCAAACCCTTTGCAAATGCAGCATAATAATCACTCCCTATTAGAAGATCTATTGGCCCCACTGAGTCATTATTTACACAAGAGGCTGCCAGTTCTACACTATTTTGTGAAAGCTTCTCAGTAGCTTCACTAAACCCTATTGTAGAGATTTTCTGTGGGAGTCTATCAACTGTAACTACATTGATACGTTTTCCCTCATTGTCCAAGCTGACATTTACATACACAGTGTCGTACAACTGGGCCCTTTTATCTGACAGAAAACCAGATAATTTTAAATTTGTTGGATCCCCCACTTTCAATTTTATATCATTAAGGCAACTATGTTTTAGTAAAGTGCATTGAGATCCCTGGTCCGATAATGCAGTTACATTCTTTGATTTATGCCTTATATCCCGAATTTTTACATTCACCACAGATAAGGCCACTTTAGCTATGTCATCATCATTAACATGAGCTGCAATTTTTACATTAGTAACTGTTATGTCAGTGTTAACATCATTATCATTATTATCATGATTGTCATTATTATTATTATTATTATTATTATTATTATTATTATTATTATTATTATTATTATTATTATACAAACCCTTACACATCACGACATGATGCCTTCCTTTGTGGCATTGATAACAATTATTAAGTTTGGCATAACAATTCTCTACATTGTGACAGCCTAAACATCTGATACATCTGTCAAGTTCTTCTAATCTTTCCACCTTGTTAATAACATCCCATGAATCATAAGCATTTCAATTCTTGGAGAAATGAGTCCCCTTGCAAAAAAGACAATCCCTCTTTTGCTTGACTTCCCTGTTATTAACTAGGCCGTACTTATTAATGTACTTATACCTCTTAATTTGATGTGGAGAACCATTACTTTGGCTCCTGTCACTTGATATCTGCTATGCAACCCTTTTTTATAGGATGAATTATGATGATCATTAACATTAGGATATATTTCCATTTGTGAGACTTGACAGATTCATCAGAATCATTTGTTACATTCTTACAATTATTTGGTTGGCTGATCTGTAATTGAACAATTAATTCTTGTATACCTAATCATATTTCCTCCAGAGAAAAATAATCTTTGTGGTATTTATTAGACCACCACTCTATAGTTTTCATGGTCAATTTGTTTTCTAAGACAGCACTTAATATTCAGTCTGATTCACCCAAATCAAATTTATTACTCAAGGACTTAAGACCTCTTTCTAATTTAACCCTAAATTGTTGTCAATTGTGGTAATTGTGTTCTGGAGTTCTTAAATTAATCACAATATTTGCTAGGTCTGACCTACTTTGCTCCGTATTACCATAGGTCACCTCTAACTAAAGTCTATATTCTGAAATCCTTGAATCAGGACATAAGCATCACTTCTGACCTGCCCTTTGAGATAAAATAATCTTGTGACATCTGCTAGATCATCCCTCACATGCACAGTAGCCTTAAATACTGACCAGAATTCCTCCTAGTTGTCTCCTGGACTAAATGTTGGTAGACATAACTCTGTGAGTTTGGGCAAAGATCTGGCATTTACATTACCAGATTGCTCAACGGCAATATTTACACATTTTAATTTATTTATTTTATTTTACATGACAGCATTTTCTCTTCCATCTCATAATATTGATTAATTACTAATTCCCTCTCAATATCATCTGCACAGTTCACCAGCAGATCTCCTTCATATTCTGTGTAATACAATTTATATGACATATTTTCTAATGATTCCAAATATAATTCTAAATTAACCTTATTCACAGTTTCTTCTGCCACCAATTCCAGGCATTTATTATAAGCTCTGGTCACATGATTTTTTGGGGGGGCATTTAATGAGGCATTATAGTCTTTATTCCCATGAACTTACCATCTGCATTAATTACATTACCTTCATCCATGGCTCTTTTATGTATTAGACTCAATTAATGAACACTGGTTTTATTATTATAATATGCACCAAATATCCTAGCAAAATATTTCCTGGCTTAGCAAGTTAATTATAATAATTATTTTTATTATTATAATCATTAAGAAGACTATCATTTCTAGCCCTAACTGGGCTTAGTAAATTAACAATTACTTCAATCACTATCCTAGCCTCACTGGGCTTAGCAATTAATATATAATTACACAAATCCATTAATATTACAAATGTATAAAAAATACAATTCCAGCCCCACTGGGCATGCAAATCCAGTCAATTGTGGCATCTGTAATCCATTACACATTTTTTATTACACTTGCTTCGAATATTGGTGGTACTTGTGCATCCTAGGATGATTCTGAACTCGACTCACGAAATCGTAGTGACACGATTGCAGATTGAGACTCTCTGATCGCGGGTTCTATCCCCGCCCGTGGTATGGTTTATGATTCTGAACTACTGTGATGAATAATTTTACATAATCTTTCTGGGAATTCTGTGTCTTCGAAGTGACGGTTTTGGAAAAATAATATTAAGTTCATGTTTCTATTTATGTATGTTGTAGAAATCTTCTGTATGAATAAGTTGTTAATGTCCTGTTTGCTAATTTTGTTCCATTTTCTGTTACAAAAGGAGGTGTTTTCTGTTCAGTCTAACCTTTTGTTAAATATTAGGAGCGTCCGTTGGGCAGTGTGGAAAATTAAATTTACCTGGATGAATCTCATTAGATACATACCAGTAAATGGTAACAACGATAATTATTCTTTATCAAGGTTACAGAGACAAGTAAGAATTTTAGGGCACCTAGGTTGCAAAAAATGTCCCCCTTCGATACCTACCATAATCTATCTCTCCACAAGTCACTCTGGACCTATATTAATTTCAAATGAAATATACATCACCAGGAATTCTGGTGAAAACATTAATATAAATATGTGGACTGTATAGTAAAATTAATAAATGATTACATATACACATTTATGTAACAGGAGAATTTATAATCATAACACTCACCAATTTGTCTGGAGATTACTGTGTATCATATACAAACCCCTGCCTAAATATGAAGAAAATACTGGCCAGAATCTCAACATAAGTAGACAACTTAGCTGGGGTTCCATCTGCTTAATTCTCACGTTATGCAGGACTGCAAATCCAACAATTTCGGCTTCTGTTTGAGAGGTTTTAAGCCCAATATAACCCCTAGAGCAACGAAAATTTATGCACATTTCACTAACGTGCTTTTACCACATTCAAAACAATGGCGTCTCTTCCATGCTCGTCGGCGCAGGCGCAGAGCTTCCCTGTCGGTTCTCTTCTTTAAAATACACTTTAGAGCAATAGTAATGTATTAATCAGGTATATTTACATTATAAAAAATATACAGAATAATTTTGGGAAATTATTTTCCATAGGCAGTGCATCTGTTGGGCAGTGCATCTGTTGGGCAGTGCACCTGTTGGGCAGTGTGTCTGTTGGGCAGTGTGTCTGTTGGGCAGTGTGTCTGTTGGGCAATGTGTCTGATGGGCAGTGTGTCAGTTGGGGAGTGTGTCTGTTAAGCAGTGTAAGTTGAGCAGTGTGTCTGTTGGGCAGTGTGTCAATTATATGTGAACCCAACAATTCATTACTTTCAATCAGATCATTAAATTAAATTAAACCTTCCCTGATTACATATCCGAGTCCGTTAGAACCAAAGGGTTATTTTGAAAAATTATTATTATTATTATTATGTGAGCAAATCACTTGCAGGAAGCTTACAGGGAATCACATGAATTACTACCTACAAGTAATTTGGGTGAGGTAAATGGGACTTTAGTCACAGTTGGTCGCTGAACTGCTGCTCCTTCGACTTTCCACTTCTTCACCACTCTCACAAAAAGTTAGACCTGACATTAAATTAATAATTATAATATTAAAACCAATTATTTTGGTAATTAAAGTTATGTGAACTGTATAGGATTAGGCTTGCTGGGTACATAAATATTTTGATATTAACACTAACAATTTAATTGCTGTAGGTGGATCACACCACAACACCTGCCTAGCACCTAGACCCTACACTGGCCAGCTAGTGATCTAAATGGTGTACTTCCCTGAGAGTGATGTTGCATCCCTTATTTTTCGCCATTCATACGCAATTCAGGTCCCACAAATTTCCTGTACCAGTTCTTCAGCAGGGGACATTAACACGGGTTCCTAATTACGAATTCAGGCCGAAACAGTACAATTTGGCCTCCGAGAATGCCTGATTACAATGCACATCCATATCCAGTGTTCACTCAGTAAATTCAATATGGCGTCTCCCATCCGCATCATCACTCTCCGGCTCTTCCACACCACCCTTCATTTAAATTTCTCGAAGGGTCAAATCAGCATCATATTTTATTACACAATTATTGTATTATTCAAATTTACTCATCCTGAATTTAGGAAACTCCAAAATTTTCTACAGAACTGTTTATACACATATGAATTCAGTCACAAAAAAAGTTCAGTGTAATGTGGTATTAAAATATTTTTATTACCTTATATAGAAGCTAAGTTTGGCTGAAATTAGTCAAGTTTAAATGGTTGCGAGTTATTTATAGCAGGCAAAGTCAAGATTTTTTCAAGAATGGCTGGTAATAATCCACTGTGGATGAAATACTTTGACATTTCATAAACATTTGTGAATGAGTTGTCTCTGAATTCATTTTTTTTTCGTCCCATGCTATTTAATATTCTGATTAATGCTCTCCTAAATGCTCTACCTGCCTCACCTAAACATATAGCTATAAGCTATGCTGATGATATGATCCATACAACAGGGCATAAGAAGATGAATACCATTCTTAATGAAGTTCAAGCAATTTGTAATCGACTAGGCCTCATAATATCTTCCTCTAAAACAAAGATCTTAACAAGAAAACGACATCCCCCACCCATCTATTTGCAGGGTGAAATCATTAGCTACGTTAAAACTTACAGATATCTTGGTGTAGATGTACCCTTTAACAAATCCACTATACCACAACTAAACAAGAAATGCAAAGCTAGGCTAAATGCTCTCAAAGCTGTTGCTGGCTACAATCCCAACTATGGTGCTAATGTGAGAATCGTGAGAATGATGTACATAGCCTATGTTAGGTCCTTAATTGATTATGCTGCTCCCATGTTGATATTAGCTAGAGAAAGTTCTCTTCGACCCTTGGAGTTAATGCAAAATGAAGCTCTCAGGATTATTCTTGGCTGTCCCAGATCTACAAAAGTTCTTAACATGAGGAAGGAGCTTGGTATTTCTAGTATCAGTGATAGGATTGTTGAAATTAACACTGTACTCGGTATTAGAATGTTGAGAAACGAACCAGACACTGTCACAGTGAACCTTACCAAGTGTCTAGAGGTAAATACACACAGATCTAAATGGATTGTGAAAACGTGCAATTGCATTAAGTTTTATAACCTACATGAACTGTATCACTGTAGGCAACAAGAGCATTTCACCCCTCCATGGAAGATGTGTTCATTTAATATCACATACCTACAAGTCCCTCCCAAGAAGCTCATTGCTAGTAATCCCTTCCTTAAATCTC